CAGTGCGAGTCCGGTGGGGACCTTCTGCGATCCCTCTGAGGCCCAGGGCTGGGGCTCTGGCTGCCTCTGTTTTGGGCTAGAATCTCCCTTGGCCAAGAGCCAGGCCCTGCCACCCCAGCTACGGGGGCCCAAGATGCCTGAAAGCCCCACCGGAAACTTCTTAGACTGAGGCCCCATTCAAAGCGCACTTTCCCCCTCGTGGGACTCATGGTGGAGCGGCCCTTTGAAGCTCCTCTGCCACCTCTCCTTCCCGCTGCGTGCTCCCCAGCCCAGAGCAGACTGCGGGTCCTGGGAGGAGAGCCCAGCATCGATCCTGGGGAGGAGTGGCGTCTGGCCTTCCTGGAGCCCCAAGATTGCACACAGCATCTGCCCATCCCCCCAGAACACCCCAGGCAGCGAACAAGGTCTCTGTTTGACAGATGAGGAAATGGATGCTCAGAGAGGGGCAGGGACTTGCCCAAGGTCACCAGCAAAGTGAGGACTCTCCAGAGTATCTCCGAGAAGGAAGTGCCACAGTCAGAGAAAGGGTGGGGGAAGCTGATGCTCCTGGGCCAGGGCCAGGTGAGGCTCCATGGGCTCTCATGACCCCGTCCTTCCCTCCCCAAGGGTGGGGGCAGGGAGGCAATCAGCTCCGGGCTGGAGCCAGGGTCCTGGGTTCCAGTCCAGCCCTCCCCCACGGCCCAGAAGTCCCCCTGCCCAGGGCAGCCGGCCGAGCCTGCCAATTCCGTCAGGCTGGCTGGGCTCTTGGAGAACCGTGGTGCGCGGCTGGACTGATTCCTGAACCTTATTGGTTTAGACAGCCAGCCGGGTGATTTTTCTGGCTGCTGAGATGAAGTTTTGGAAAAATCACAATGTTCAAAGAACCTGAGCATAACAGAGCCAGGAGGGACTCTGGATGTCATCTGCCTCGGTCCCTTGCCAAGACTTGAAATCTCTGCCATATCTCTCCAGCCAGGGTGCCTACAGCCCCTGCTCACACACCTCTCCTGACAGAAACTCACCTGCAGGGGCACCTGTCCATTCTCACACAATTTTGGCTTTGTAGAAACTATTCCACTAGCAAAGCTAACATCTGCCTCTCTCCTTCTTTCCTTCCTTCATTTCTTTCTCTCTCCTTCCCTTTCTGCACAGCTGTTGAGTGCCATCTTTGTGTCAGATGAAGATACAGATAAGAGTTCACACGACTCTTGCCACCGTGGAGCCCACAATCCAATAAGAGAGCACACGTGCAATTAGACAGTCTCAGTGGGTGTTGTGCTAGATGCTAGAAAGCACAAAGGAATCACAGGGGGCTTCTTGGAGGAGGTGTCATCTGAGTTGATCCTCAAAAAATGAGCAGTTAGAGTAAGAGAAGGGAGTTCCCAGGCCTAGCAAGCAGCATGTGTGAAACGTCCTATCTATCCTAGAAATGACAAAGATGGTTCAGTCTGGTCAGGCACAGAGTGGGAGAGGAGAGATGCAGCTGGCGAGGTCAGCAGGGCCAGATCATGGAGAGTCTAGAATGCCAGGCCGAGGATTTGGTTCTTATCCCACGGCCTTGGAAACACTATCGCCAGCTCCAATTCTGTTCTCTGCACACAAACCATCAAAGCTGCCATTCCCAGGTAGAACGTCTCTTATCCTTCACAGTGTTTGTCATAAGCTTTCCTTTGGTGGGGGACCTTTCCTTGGGATCTGTTGTCAATGGCACCAGACTGAAGGCTGGGCAGGTAGGACAGAACCCTGAGCCTCTAGGTTTGCCCAAGTCTGGCTGAGACCAAGAAATAGAAGATGGAGCATTCAACATCAGGAAAACTCACTAATGGTCTTTCAGAGCAAAGGTGACCTTGCTGGTAAGTACAGGTGTCCGTGCTGCCTGGACACCAGATCTTTGAATCTCAGAGGTGGAGGGGCCCTCGATGGCCTTGTGCAACTCCTGGCAGCCTGACTCATGCACCTTCAGTCCAGGCCTACACCTGGCTGCGGGGTGTCACACAGCCTGGAAAAAGACTAGAAGCATGGCTATGCTGACCAGCCCCAGAAAACTCCGGGGTCATTCAGTCAGGTTTCCTGAGAGACAGGGGATCTGGGCCACCACTAACTTGTTGCCTAACCTTAGGCAGGTCACATAACCTGCTGGGTCTCAGCCCGTCCATCTTCTCTGCCTGCCTCAAGGCCAACGTGAAAGCCCTAAGACCTGTACGCGATGCTCGCAGAACAACAGGGACATTTTATGAGGCTGAGCACATAGCACATGCTGGGAAAAATGTCAGCAGTGGTGGGTAGATCATTTCCAAGTGTGTGATTGGCTGCTGATGGAATGAAGGCTCTCCGGCCCAGAATGAGAGAATTCACGCACCCCAGCCATTCAATTTCCATAAATGTGCCTCGGGCCTTCTGGGATATAAACAGCAAGCTCAGTTCATTTCAAACCCTGGCCAGTGGGTGGTCCTCAGAGATCAGCGCACTTCGGCTGCAGATGTCTGACCCACGCTGGCTCTGGCTGTCCGGGCGGCACACGTCCACCTAACCAGTTAGCACATCCATCTTTCTTTAAACGCTTGAGTGCTTATCTGAGGGAGAGTTTGGAATCCTCCAAAACTGCACCAAGGAGGGGTCTGGGGAAGACTAGGGCTGAATCTGCCTGGTTAGGGGACTGGATAGGATAACCTTGATGTTCCTTTAGGAGCCCAGGACTGTGCTGCATGTCCCTCTCAATGCTGAGTTCCGCTAGGTCGGGAAGGTGGCAAGATTCGGGCCCAACATGGAGACTGGCACTGCGTGTGCTTGATAATCACACGCTGCATTAATTTACCTCTGGCCCCGTGCCTGGCACAGATCTGGGCACGCGGTCAGGTGCCTGGACTGTTTACCCAAATGCTTCATCTTTAATTAACCTCAAGTTCCATCTCAATACATCGCATGCCACACTCTGCCCCGAGCAGAGGGAAATCTGGCCTGTGTGTTTCTAATTCCTTTACACTTATCTCATCCAAATAGTGCTCCGCACGAAGTGTTTGATGTCCCCCAGGCCTCTGAGCCTGCTTTATAACTCAGCTAAGCCCCTTCCCGCTCAGAAATAGGAAGTCACATTTCTGCCAAGGATAAACCCTGGCTGGGGTCAAGTTCAGTTTACAGCATGATGCCCATGGGGCTGGCTGGACCCTCTGAAGTAGAGCTCGGGGCTCCTGCCAGGTCTCAGGCTCAAACACATCCATCCAGGGCTGAGCGGAAAAGAATTCAGAGGCCTGCCAAGATGCCGGTGGGACCTCTGACCATCCAATGAGCTGCCCTGGACTCTACTACTTCAGAAGGGAGACAGCTGCCCCGCGGGGACTGGGGTGAGTCAGTCACTACCAGGACTGCCAGGGAAAGGCCTGGTGCAGTGACGCCGGAGAGCACTGGTCTGGGATTCAGCAGATATCCAGCTGTGCAGTTTTTGGGAAATGCCCCCTCCCAGGCCTGATTATTACTCTTAGTTATATGTCAGATGAGGGGTTCTTTCTGCTCTCTGGTGCCAGGGCCCTGTAATTGATGAGCCGCCAGCCCTATGAGGGTCCAGGACTGGAAGGCAGCCAGACAGGGTCCTCTGCCTGCTCGGCCACCGCCTTGGGGGCAGAGGATCTAGGTCTGTCTCTCTGAGTCGTAGTGGCCTGACTGTCCCCGTTTGCCTGGCTGCCTGTCTCCCCACGCTTCCCACAGCTGCCCCCCATTCCTTAGCCTCTGATTTGGCAGAAAAGCCTCTCATTGGCTTCAGAATAAGACAAGTCTGGGCCCGGGACACGTGGCACACACAAAGAGCCCTTTGGCAAGAGTGACCAACATGAGAACTGGGGCCAAACAGGTTCTTTGGCGGAGTAAGAAGCTTGTGCTGGCCCTTGGAGCCTCCCTGTGTAGAGAGAACGTGGCAGAATCCGATCCAGGAGATAAGCATCACTTTTCCATCACATTACTTTGGGGCCATGTCCTGGCTGGGTGACCTTGAGCAAGTCCCTTGACCTCTTTTGGGGGCGCGGTTTCCTCATCTGTGAAATGGGGATAGTTGCATCTCATAGAACTGGTGTGAGGATCAGTGATAAAGTGAGTGTGCAAAGTGCCTGCCACATGGTAGGCTTTGGACAAATGGTGGCTCTCGTTACAATTAGTATTACCATGTGACTCCCAGAGCCCCTGTTCCTGAAACTGCCCTCTGTGCCGACTCCTGCCCTGCGGCAGCTCCTTCCATTTGGCCGTGACTTCAGTAGCATCTCCTGTAACCCACGCTGGATTAATGCTATCAGAGCAGAGAGGTCTGGATTCACATCCCGATCTCCCACTTGCTGAGTGACCTTGGGCAACCAGTTTCCTCTCTTAGATTCACCATCAGGCGCATGGGCCTGGGAAACCACCTCCCTCAGCACCAACCTTCTTCCTCCACCCAGGGCCTTGGCCAGAACACTTACCAAGAGCTCCGCAGGCCCGTTCACAGACACCCAGGGTTTACAAAATAGCAGCATTCTCTTTCCGAAAGTGTCTTCCCAGCCCCAGATGCATCGACGGGAGGGAAGGACCGTCAGCGTTCACATCTCTGGCTCCCAAATCCAGCTTCACAAAAGCTAAGCTTGTCTGCCTGCCCCTCCCTCTGAGGTCCCCGCGGTGGGAGAAGCCAGACCCAGACACAGGAGGCTTCCGCTGGTCCAGGAGCCGGCAGTGCACAGCCACGGTCCGCATGAGGTCACAGGTGTCCTGACAGCCTGGCTTCCCCGCCTGGGTTGGCGCTGGGGCTCATTAAGGGGTTACTGATATAGGCCACATAAAAATAGTTTTATCAGTGGAATAAATACACTTTTCTTTTTTAATATGGACACATATTTTACAAAAGAGCCCCATAGCACTATGGGAAATTAAGATCCTTCTACAAAAAAGAAGATGTAACTCGGGTAACAATAAAGCTCTAGGGTTCTAACGGATCCCGACTGGACCGCCCGTGAGGTGTCAGGCACCCCTGGGAGGGGGGTGGCAGGGGCAGAGGGGTGTGGCCACAGACCCTCCTACGGTTTCTCTGGCTTCTCTGCCCTGGCAGCCGAGGTCAGGAGGGCCCGAGGGTGTGCAGCAGGAAGGGGGCTGCAAAGCTGGCAGCGATGACGGCCGGGAGGAGGCCCAGGGCCGGCTGTGAGTGGGCAGACACTGAGCCGCTGGCGGACCCCGGCTCTTCCTGCGGCTGGAGCTGGTCGGAGAGCTGGAAGAGGGGCCTGGCGGTCCCGGAGCTGGAGCTGTGCGTGGGCTGGAGGGGCAGCGGGGGTGGCGAGGCGGTGGTGCTGGAAGGAGAAGACACATGGAACTCTGAGTGAGCGCTCCGCAGCCCTGTCCCGTGCTGTGGCCTGAGGTTCAGATCTGACTTCATCAGATGAAGGAGAAAACAGGGGCTCAGACAGGGACAGTGAGCAGCCAGAGCCACACAGCAGGCTGGCTGAGCTCCTGAGGCTGCACTCACCCTCCTGTGCCAGGCTCCGGGGGGTGGGGGAGTCGGTGGGCTGGGCATTGGGAGCCACGGGGCTCGTGTGACCACTCAAGAGAACTGAGTCCCAGGCAGAGGGAATTAAAGTGTTATGGAGAATTAAAGTGTAGTTAAAGTGTATCTGGGGTCATAGTGGGGCCGTCAGCCTCCACACCTATGTATACAGATGCCCCGCCCTCCTATTGCCCTCCCACAAAACACACAAACCACCCCTCCCACCCCCTTATCCCAGCGGCCATTTATTGAGAGTATCTCTGGTCCTCGGAACTAACCTGCACAGTGGCTCGCATCACCCCTTCACCAGATGAGAAAACTGAGGCTCATGGGGCGATGCGGTGACCAGGTCACTGGGGAAGGGGAGGCAGCACCTCCACGGGCAGGAGCCCGGGGGTCCGCATAGTCACAGGGAGTTTTAGTGAAAGGCGCAGTCCTTCGTGAACTCATAAAAACAGAATCCTGTTTTGGAGGTAATGGTTAAGGATCTTGGCTCGAGAAAGCATAGGTGAAAGAGAGGAAGGGAGAGAGACAGGGAGACAGAGTGAGGCAGAGAGAAAAGGAGATTAAGGACAGAAGGAACTGGTGCCATTGGGGAGTGAAGGGTAGGATGGGGGCCAGGCATGGTGCAGGACCACATCACAGTTCAAGTCCTAGAAAGAGATAGAAAATTATGAATAGAGGGACAGGGACTGGGGAAGGGAGGGGGCATAGGAGGAGGAGGCTCAGGGATAAAGGAAAGGGCTGGCCCTAGAAGCTATGGGCACACTCGCCCTGTGGACCCTGGGCTGGGGGAGGCAGATGGACATGCAGGTAGAGGATCCAACAAGCCCCAAACAGCAGAGGGGCAAGGATGTGAGGGGACACCCAGGGGCAGTGGGGACACAGGCCTCCCTGAAAAGGAGACTCTGCAGTCACCCACGAAAGCAGCAAGTCCAGCTTGCACATGGCCGAGGGGGCTCCCAGCAGAACGGAGAGACGCTCACAGAGTAGGGCCCGTGCCAGCTCTGTGCGAAGCACTTAGCATATAGCTTCTCATGGCAACCCCACGAGGCAGGTACAACTATTATCCCATTTTCTTTATGAAGAAACTAAGGCACAAAGCGGTTAAGTAACTTGCTGTGGGACGCAGGGCAGGGGCACACAGGACGTGCGGGGTGGGCAGGAAGCTTGCCCCTCTCTGGGAGACGCTTGTGTCGTGTGCAGGGATGGGGCTCTTTCTCTGTGGGTAGCCTCCTCCATAGGAGACATGGCTCCACTTTCTCACCCTCCCTCCCAGACAGGCTGCTCACTCCCGGGGTCTCCTGGGAGCCCCCCACCCCACCCTGGCCAGAGTTTCCATGTGCTGGGTACAAGGTCCCAGCAGTTAGCCACAGTCGCCTGGATGAGATCTGTGAGCATCGCTGCCACAGCCCTGCCCCACTGCCCTGCGGCTGGATGCCTCTGACACAGCCTGGCTCAGCCTCAGCCTGGGCTGGTGGGCGGGGCAGCCTGGGGTCACCAAGCACAGCCCTGCTCCTCCATGGGCTGGGGTCTCTGCTCTGGGAATGGGGTCTAGACTTTTGCTCAAAGCGAAGTCTTTACTCTCGGCCTGGTCCCTCCCTTTCTACTCTGCCATTGGCCACGCTCCAACCTCAACGACCAGGTCCTCGCAGGAGGTTCTTCTCAGGAGAGGAGGGAGCACACTCCCACCATGCACAGGGGACAGAGGGATGTGCTCCTGGAACAGGAGGGAGGGGGCAGACCATGTGCTTTGAGTGCCCCTTATAACTCACAACATCTGGCCTGTTGTGCCCCCCATCCCATGCCCCAGGCCATCTGAGAGTGGTCATGGTCTGGGGCCAGCTGACCTCACCTCCCAGCACACACCAAGCCTCTCCAGTCACATCTAATGTTCTGTGGCCCGTTTCCTACAGCCCTTCGAATGCAGACTCCATGTCCCCTCGCCTAGGAGCCTCTCCGTCCTGCACCTCAATGCCCCCTGGGAGCATTCAGGCTCCTGTAAAATCTTGTACATTTCTCACTGATCATATTATGTCACGGGCACCGACTGGGCACACAAGGTTTGGATGGGTTTCTGTAAAGAGCTTTGAATGATGCCAGGCACATGGTGCTACATGGTGTTGGCTATTTTTGTCATCATTATTAATATGCTTGCATGCGTCTCCCCTACTAATAACATCCTCCATTCACAGAGCACTTCCCACGTGCTGGCAGACACTGTGCTGGATGCTGGGCGTGTGCCTCTGTTATCACCCCCATTTCCAAGATGCGGAAACTGAGCCGGAAGTAGGTTAGGACACAGATGTGTCCTGGGCAGTCTGCTGTCCTGCCTGACCCGGCCTGGGTGCCGATCTCACTGTGCAGATGAGCAAGTGTGGGAAGGGAGGGCCCAGGGGTGAAGCGTGCTGCTTCCTGCTGAGACCTCGAAAACCCATGCCCAGCGGGGTCACTGCCTCAGCCCCTTCCCTCCCTTTCTTTTCTAAGAAAAAGACCCCCATCCCTGCATACAACACAAAAGGCCACAAAAGTTCCTCCCAGACTGAGCAGCAGGAAGGCGAGGAGGGCTGGCCTCAGGAGAGGAGCCTAGGGTGCCGTGTGGGGTGCCGGAGTGGCGGTGGGGGCCCAGGCTGGCCACAGCAGCCCCACAGGCCATAGAAGGAAGACCCAGCAGGAGTTATGAAAACTGTCTCACAAAACGCCCGAAGGCATTTGCTTTTACACTTTGAAAACCAAAGATGCTACCACCCCTCTTCCCGCTTGGAGCCGGAGTGGAGTGGGGTTTATTGCTTGGAAGGAGTCCCAGGGAAAGGGGGGGAGGCGGCAGGCGGGGGCAGAAAGCCCCTCCAAATGCCCCACCTCCCTTGCTCACAAAGCTTACTCCCCCAGTCCAGATCCCCCCCCCCCCGACCCATGCTGGGAAAAGTGTCTCATGGCAAAGTGGCGGCAAAGCCAAACCAAACACTCTGAGCGTTCCCAGGCTCCGCAGACGGCTGGCACCGAGGGGCCCAGTCTGCTCTGAGCCGGCGGGGCCTCTGGGGTGGGGAAGGACCCTCTGCCTGAGGGGAAGGCAGAAGCCCTGTTCTAGCCTGCCCCATGTTCCTGCTTGCCGCGTGACTCGGGGCAAGTCCAGTCCTCCAGGCCTCAGTTTCCCCAGGTGTACAATGAAGGAGCAGGGGCGACCCCTTGGTCTTTTAAGTGTTTTCTAGCAGCAGAAGCCAGAAGGGAGAAGCCCAAAGTATAAAGCACAGTGTCAGCTGTCTGTCCCCCAAGGCCCCTTCCTAGGGCTTCCTGGAGCAGGTGTCCATCTTGGCATCAGAGGGTCTCCAACAGCCATCCAGGCTGGGCTCTGGGAATCTTGGGGCTGTGGCTTTTTTGCCAACACAAGGGGCTGCTGGGTTGTGTCCTGGGTGGCTTCTGAGCAGGCTCTAAGTCAGGGGTCCTCAAACTTTTAAAACAGGGGGCCAGTTAACTGTCCCTCAGACCGTTGGAGGGCCGGACTACAGTTAAAAAAAAAACTATGAACAAATTCCTATGTACACTGCACATATCTTATTTTGAAGTAAAAAACAAAACGGGAACAAATACAATATTTGTATTTGCATGTGGCCTGCGGGCCGTAGTTTGAGGACCCCTGCTCTAAGTAGATAAGGGGAGTTGGAGCCTGGGACAGCAGAGCCTGGTGCCAGGAAGCCCTGGTGCCGGGGGGCCCTGATGCCAGGTGGCCCTGATGCTAGAAGGCCCTGATGCTGGGGGTGGAGGTCTCAGTGCGATCCTGCTGGAGGAGACCTCACTGTGGTTCCAGCCCGGGCCTGGCCTCTCTGGGCCAAGCGCGCCAGACACAGGCAGAGACGTAAGTGACTATAAAACTCCTAGGAGAAAACCTGGGCAGTAAACTCTCTGACCTTTCTCGTAGTCATATTTTTTCTGACATATCTCCTCAGGCAAGGGACACAAAAGAAAGAACAAACAAATGGGACTACATCAAACTAAAAAGGTTTTACACAGCAAAGGAAACAATAAAATGAAAAGCAACCCACTGAATGGGAGAATATATTTGCCAATGATACATCTGATAAGAGGTTAATATCTAAAATTTATAAAGAACTTACATAACTCGACACCAAAAAAAATTAAACAATCCAATTTAAAAATGGGCAGAGGACCTGAATGACACTTCTCCAAAGAGAACATGCAGATGGCCAATAGATATATGAAAAGATGCTCAATGTCACCAATGGTCAGAGAAATAAAAATGAAAACCACATGATATATCACCTTACACCTGTCAGAATGGCTATCATCAGTAAGTCAACAAACAACAAGTGCTGGTGAGAATGTGAGAAAACAGAACTCTCGTGCACTGTTGGTGGGAATGCAGACTGGTGCAGCCACTGTGAAAAACAGTATGAAATTTCCTTAAAATATTAAAAATAGAGCCACCTTAAGACCCAGCAATTCCAATTCTGGATATTTGAAGAAATCCAAAACACTAGTTCTAAAATCAGGCACCCCGATGTTCATTGCAGCATTATTTACAATAGCCAAGATGTGGGAGCAACCCAAGCGGATAAAGAAGAGGTGGCACATATATAAAATGGAATATTACTCGACCGTAAAAAAAGAACGCAATTTTACCATTCACAACAACATGGATGGAGAGGGTATTACGATAAGTGAATAAGTCAGACGGAAAAAGATAAATAACGTCTGATTTCACTGATATGTGGAAGTTAAGAACAAAATAAATGAACAAACAAAACAGAAACAGACTCATAGATACAGAGAACAAACTGAAGGGTGCCAGATGGGAGGTGGGCTGGGTGAAAAAGGTGAAGGGATTAAGTACTAATTGGTAGTTACAGAATAGTCAAGGGGGTGTAAAGTACAGCATAGGGAAAATAGTCAATAATATTGTAATAACTATGTATAGTGCCAGGTGGGTACTAGAATTATTGAGGGATCACTTTGTAAATTATATAATTGTCTAACCACTATGTGGCACACCTGAAACTAATATAAAGTAACATTGAACGTCAACTGTAATTGAAAAGTTAAAGAAAAATGTTGGGTTTGCCTGCAGTTCAGCATCCTGGCATCTCAGGTCCATGAGCCTCCACCCCTTTGGCCGTGTGGTTTTCAGTAGGAAGTCCCTTCACCTCCCCTCAGACTCTAGGGTCACTTCTGACCCTCAGACCCCTGACCCTCCAGCCCTCAGTGACCAATTCCCTTTGCAGGCAGCACAGGCAGATGGACTGTGGCTTCAGGGCTCTTTCAGTTGCAACATAGTGGGGAGTTGTCCCTGCCCAGCCATGGCCTGAGCCTCTTCCTAGTCTGGTCCCCACCAGCACTTCACACAGGGCTGGGCATCTATATGAGGCCAATGAAGGGTGAAGGGCAGATATTGTGCAGCGCCAGTCCCAGGGCTCATTTAAGGCTGTGAGTCTTCGAGGCGCTGAAGGCCCGTGAGCAGCTCCTGCTGTGAGGGGGGCTTCTTAGACCAGATGCTGAGAGTCAAAGTCTCACCGCTGGCCACCAACACTGGAGACACTGGTACCACTTTACAAGCACCATCTCATTGACTCTCTAAGCCTCAAAGCAAGTATGAGGCGCAAAGCTTAGAATCCTGTTCTACCTGAATCGGTGCTTTTCCTCACTGAGGGAGCTGCTTCCCATTTCTCAGGGGCATCTTCTATCTCTAATCAGCCAGGTTCCTGGCCTCCAGCTGACTACTCTGCCCAGGGAGAGGGCCGGGCTGTGCTAGGAGAAAGCGAAGCTGGAGGGTTTCAGGCAGGAAGGGGCGGTCGGCAGGAGGGGCACCAAGCCCGCCCAGAGCCCAGGGGCTGGAGCTCTGGTCCTCAGTTCAAACTTCAGGGGAAGCTGAGGGCCAGAAGGCAATGACCCCTGTCCTGCACCCCCTGCCTCTACATGGTGGCACCCACAATGCTCTGTGTCCATCACATACTGATGCCCTCCTCATGCTTCAGGTCATGCCCAGCTCTTGTAGCACCTGCCCCCTTATGACTGTCCTTCCAATCCTGGTGGCCCAGCACCCTGCTCCATGTTCATGCAACCCCCCCCCCACACCCTGTGAATTCGGAGAACCACAGAGCTGGCATGGCCTTCAAAGACCAGTCAAGGCCCTAACAGCACAGAAGGAGAAACTGCCACAGGTCCTAGCCCATTGGGCGGTGCTCTGCTCAAGGCCAGCATGGGACGGGCCTGCCCTGCTGCCCTGCCCGGCTCTCAGATGTGGAGCCCTCTGCCGCCCGTGCGCAGCCATCTGCGGACACAGGCCCGGCCCTTTCCGCGGGTCCCCATAAATCATCCTGCCACGGGCTGCTGCTTCTCTAAACTTCCTCCCGTGTGTTTACATCTCGGGTAATGAGGGGCAGGAGGAGGCCAGCCTGCTCCAGGTGGTATCCTGCCCAGGCGCTCGCAGCCCCTACCCCGGCTCTCGCCCTCCTCTCCCTCAACACACCCTCAGCGAGGCCTCCGGGGACCCACAGAGTCCAACCCAGATCTGGCCCCGGGGGCTCCCAGCCTAGAAACATAATCCAGAAATTGCAGTCTGTGAGACTACTTCAGGACCGGACACCCACAGGCGCTGCAGGAACGCAGGGGAGGGGGCAGCAGGGGAAGCTGGGGCAGGAAGGGAGACTTCGGTGAGGATGGGGAGACGCTCACCAGGTGAGGGTGGCAGGGGCGTCTTCATGGTGGGTGAATGACTGTGACCCTTAGCATTAGACAGACCCGCGTGTGGGTTCTGACCCCACACCTGACTTGCTGGGTGGTCTTGGGCAAGTTACCTGACCTCGCTGAGCCTGTTTTCTTATTCGTCAAACAAGGGCTCCTGACAGGACTGAGGGACATGGTGAATGTAAGTGCCTGGCACAGAGCAGGAGCTCACAAATGTCCACTGGCACCCACCCGAGCTGAGAGAGAGGCAAGTACAAAGGCGGGGCTGGGGGCTTGCCACAGTCTATTGAGAGGCGACCAAAAACCTGGCAAGGACAGGACCTTCTATCCCTTGGGAGGAGGGGCAGTGGGTAAGCAGGAAAGGGGTGACAGGCACTGCATCTGGGCAGAATTGTAGGAAGTTAACCTGGTGGTGGTGGGAGCTACAAGGAATCTGAAGCTGAGGAGCAGCGATGTGCTAGGACCAGGAGGCCTGTTAGGACCCTGCTGCAGGATCCCTGGTGGAAGGTGAGCTGGAGAGAGGGGACAGAGTGGAGGGGACAGAGAGGAGGGGATGGAGAGGAGAGGGTGGATGGGAAGTGGTAGAGTGGAGAGGTGGAGAGGAGGGGGTGGAGGGGAGGGAATAGAAAGGAGGGGATGAGGAGGAGGTGATGGAGAGGAGGGAATGGGGAGGAGGGGGTGGAGGGGAGGGAATAGAAAGGCGGGGATGGGGAGGAGCGGATGGAAAGAAAGGAGGGGATGGGAGGAGGGGATAGGGAGGAGGGGATGACAGGAGAGGATGGGGAGAAGGGGATGGCTCTAGTGGGATTTAGGGGGAAGAAAATGAGAAAACTGAATGGAATTAAAGCCCCAAAGAAAATAATTCGGTTAGAAGGACTATAAATGGGCCCTAGTCTCCCCAGAGAGCTCTCCTCAGCCCCCTCTTGGAGAACTGGGGAACCTGAAGAGGACGGAGTGAGACCGGAGAGCCACAGAAGCTGTGCCTGCCCCAGGCCGCCCTGGAGCCCAGGCCTGCTCCCTAAGAAGCAGGGAAACTTTCAACAAACAGGCTGCCTGTCGGCGGAAACTTCCTTCTCCAACCCAACCAGATGGGAGAAAGTTACCCAACCGTAGTTTCCCTGTTGGGACCGGGAAGGCTCCCTCTTTCCAAAGAAAAGCTGTTTTCTTCTCCTGAAACCAGGCTCTGTGTTTCAGAGCTACGTGTTGTGAAAAGGAAACTGTTTTGGAGTCATTTGCCCAAATTTACCTTTCAGACATGGTTAGGGGCTGGGGTCTCATGCTGGAGCTGACCGCCCAGCCTCCTGTCACCTGGTGGGCTGGACCTGCCACTAGCCGGGCCTCCTGGTCACGGGCAGGTTGATCAGGGCTGAGGGACCCCCTGGATCAAAGCACTTTAGGGGCTGCCGGGCCTCCCAGGCAGCAGCCTGTGGCCCTCCCCAGGCTGCAGAAGTAGCTCAGCAACCCTATGCCCTCGCTCCAGGTCTGAAGGGGGCGGCCGTGCAGGGCCCATGCTGGGCACGTGAGCCGAATGGGTGGCAGCCAATACAGCTGCAGCAGCGCCTCTGCCCAGGCAGGCCGGGCTGGCGAGGGCTCTGCAGAGTACATTTCCCAGGAACCCAAGTCAGGCGCTTGAAGCCAACGCACAGCCGAAGAAACAATGGACTCGACTCTTGTTTGCTGGAAGTCTCTTCAAGATCGTGCACACCCCGCACTTTAAGAGAGTGGACTGGACTATGTCAACTGCATGTCGATGACTCAGACCTGGCTGCGGGAAGATCATGCCTGAATTGTGCAGCAGGCAGCTCCTGATTTCTGGGTGACCCCGACAAGCCCCCCACCCCGGGCCTTGGTTCAACATCTGTAAATGCAGAGTTGGGTCTGCATTTTCCAAAGCGGCTCGGAAGAATCTCCAGTGCACATTCAACGCGCGGCTCTCCAGGCCCCTGCACGTGCTGATGCAGGGGGTCTGCAGTGGGACCTGGGAATTTGTTTAACAAGGGCCCAGGGTGATGCCTTCTGGGGACTCTGAGGAGCCCACTGAGGGGCACGATGCCCAGGGCACGGCTCCCACAGAAGGTCTCCCAGAGAAGGTCTCTGCCTCTCACTGATGGTCACTCCCTGGGACATCCCGGGTGCCCTGGGGACGCTGTTCACCAAATATGAAGATTCTTGCCCCAAAGTGGAATCTGGGGAGACTGCGCTGTACTGAGCCTGCAGGAGGAGGAGGGAAGACAGAAGGGGCTTTGGTGACAGGCAGATGTGGTGCAGGGTGGTGGGAGGGGCACTCAGGCAGAGGACAGGGAGGTATCAGTACAGTAGGGGGATTTCTGCACCTGCCCATTTTTAACAAGGTTTATCACGAACTCCCCATCCCCTGCTGAGACGGAGTCCGCAGCCTCAGGGTGCCAGGCGTCCTCTGCCATCTCTCTCTTGCAGCCTCCCTGCCACTGAGCCCTCCGGACACAGGGAGCTCACGGCCTTTGCTGTAGCCAGCCTGTTCCACTTTCTCCTGGCTCCAATGGAGCCCGCTCTGCACCCCAGGTGCATCCCAGGCAATCAAGGGCAAAGCAGACTTTTGCCCATGGCACTTGAAGGAAGCTTCTAGTCCCTCACCTTTAAAATGAAGAAAATGATACTTGCTCTCCTTCTGAGAATAAAAATGAAAAATGAGATATGAGTGTGCTCTATAAGCCTGAAAGAGGAACAGGAGGGTCCCTTGGGAATGGGGACAAGCCAGCCCTAAGGTTTCTGCTGGGCACGCCCCTGCCAGGCTTCCCAAACAGGGCTTGTGGATGACAGTGTGCCTGGCTCCGAGGGGCCTGAGGCTGCCCGGAGAGATGCCCAGCTCCCAGCAGACCTGCCCCTCCCCAGCTCACCTGTCCTCGATGCGGACCCAGAGGTCATTGAACTGCCGCGGCCGCTGCTGTTTATTCTGCCTCTTGTGCCACTTGTTCTGCCGCCCAAACTCCTCCAGCTGGCTGAGGCTGTCGGGGAGCAGGAGGTGTGGGGATAGGGCTGGGTCCTCCTCCTCAGGCGGGGCGGTGGGGGTCACCGAGGGTGCTGCGGGGACGGCGGCAGGCGGGGTCACGGGGGCCGGGCTCGCTGAGGTCCTCTCGGATGGGGGTGCAGGGCTCCTGGCGGCAGGGCTGGAAAGGGTGACAGCTCATGAAGCTCACATGTTGCAGCATGTCATGCACGTGTGACAGGGGATGCAAATCAATGGGAGAGCTGTTGTGGCAAGAGAAGATGCTAGCGTGCCCCTCCTGGGCCTGGTGAGGATAACCCAGGACAACCCGTGTCTGGGGCTGAGAGACGGAGCTTTGACTCATTCTTTCATTTAGTGATTCAATATATATTGCACTTTTCTAGGAATTGGGCAGAAGCAAATGAGCCTGGCTGTAGGGGGCGCGAACGCATCCACCTGGGTGTGTGTGATTCACATTCCCTACAGAGGTGCACACGACACCCCTTAGCCTGGGCACATCCTCTGCACCTCTGCTTTTATTCTCCCCTGTCTGTGGCCCAAAGAGAATTCCAAGGGGCCACCTGTCTTTGGGAGAAGGTTGGCCACGGTCTCGGGAACTGCAAAGGTTAGGTGGCACCCAGGGCGGCGAGCAGCCTGTACCCTCACTGCACTCCTGTGTGCACAATGGGTGAGGGAGAGAAGGCCATCAGCTCAGCCTGTCCACCCCCAGCCCCCACGGCAACTCCAGATTCCCAGGGTCCAGGAGATGCCCCAGATGCTGGGGAGATAATTCAAAACAGGCAGACAAAAGGATGGATCCAGGAAGCACCTGTGGCCAAAGATGGCTTTTATTGTCGGGGCCTCCACAGCAGCCCTGCTCCTTCACCCCACCCGCAGGATTTCAGTCTGCACTCAGAGACCCAGGCTGAGGGCCCTAGGAGCTGGGTCTGGGGTGGGGAGTGGGAGTGGGGAGGGGAGAAGGGGACCCTCCTCTAATGCCTGGGATCTAGATGAATAGGAGCCGAGGCAGCCTCTCCAGCCTGCCCCCTCCTCCACCCATCCCTACCCTGACCTCAGATACAATGAGCTTCAAGGGGAAGGGGGAGCTTGGAGAATACTTTGTCCCCAAGGCTCTCTTGTCCTTGCCCCTCAAACACAGGCCGGCCCAGGCCTAGGACCATCTGACTGTATTGTGCTTAAGAACAGTCTTGTCAGCCTGGCTCAGAAGATAAGAAGAGGAAGGAGCCCAGAAAGTGTGTAGTCCACCTTAACCCCCAGATCGGACACAGGGGATGGTTAGGAGCTAAGGGAGGCCCTAGACTGCCATTTACAGGAGCTGTGTGGCCTTCTGCAGGTGGCTTCACCTCTCTGGGCCTCAGGTTCCTCAATTTTAAGATGAGGATACTCGTAGTTCCTACCACACATGACTGTCATGAGGATTCAGTGAGTTAGAAGTGCTTAGAGCCCAGTACACAGTGAGCTCCTACAAATATTAACTATGACTGTTCAGGCTTCTTTCAGACTCTGGGTCTTGTAACGTCACGGACAAGGGCCCAAATCACACTATAGTCACCCTTGTGGGCTGGTGAGGAGGGTTCTTTCATGAAGGTTGGGCGGAGCATGGGCTGTATGGGACCCCTGAGTTCGAGGATCCTGTGATTGACCCCGGAGCTGCCCAGCATACAGACACCTATGTGGTTCCATGCCTGGTGCTGGCGCTAGGGGCCACACAGGGACCCAGCGGACGCCTGCCTTTGGGCAGCTCCTGGGAGGGACCCCCCACAGGAAGAGAGGATGCCATTATGTGGCTCTGTGAGTGGAGTGGTGTGCTCTAGCAGGACAGTTGAGGCGATGGGCACGGCCAAGAGGCAGCACTGGGAAAAGTATGGTGAGGACCAGGTGCGGGTGGGGCTGGGACACAGGAAAGAGGCTAAGCCACTGCTCACCCTGACCGTGGCCCCATCTCAGTTCAGAGCCCCAGTATCCCCCAAGTCCTCTAGGCAGCCACCCAGGCATCCGACAGAGCCCTTCTGTCCCACCTGATCACCAGTCTCCAAATCCTGATCAACTCTCAAAATTTAACCCTCCTCCCATTCCCACCACCTCTGCCAGGCCCGCCACTCTTCCCTCCAGCCAAGGCTGTGCTCCAGCATCCTGTCCCGTCTCCCCACCTCCAGCCTAGCTTCTCCTCTCTTAGGTTCCTGGTCAAGGCCAGTGCCTACAAGGCCCCATCTCACCGGAGGCTTCTTAACAACCCTCGCCCAGGCCTGAGCAGGGAGGCAGGGAGCAGCCCGCCATGCAGCCCACCGTCAGTCCTGGCCCATGGACCACCAGCAGCAGGCCAGCCAGCCCCACGGTGCAGATATCCCGCTGCTCACCTGTGGATGGTCTGCCCCGCGGGTGTGTGCTCCACCTCCAGCCCCGCCTGTCGGAGGACGTCAATGACTGTGTTGTTCCCCAGAAAGTGACCTGGAACACAAGAGACAAGTGGCTTAGCTGTATGCCAAGACACCAGTGACTTACACCGAAGCTGAGGCCCAGAGCAGTACGGCATGTTGGGAAGAGGTCCTGGTGCCACCCTGCCTGGGTCCAAATCCTGGCTCTGGTTGTACCTTCCTGTGCCTCAGTCCCCCCCTCTGTAAAGTGGGCATGATTGTGATAGCAACCTCCAGAGTGGCTGTGAGGACCGCAGGAACAGTGCTGGCACGCAGTGAAGGCTCAGTGTGTCCCGTGGCATCGCTGTGCCTCATACCATGAAGCTGACCCAGCCCGGACTGTGCAGGTAGGGGCAGCCTACAGCACTTCATTGGTCGGGGGGGGCGGTGGGTGGTACATTTATGAGGCACTTGCTCTGAGGGCAGCCTGTGCTAGACACTGAGAAGACAGGTCTAAATCACACAACCCACAGCCCGGCTGAGCCAGCACCACCCTCCTTCGGTGGGAAGCAGGCCTGAGGTCTGAGAACACAGTGAGGTTCCAGTTAGGAAGGTTAGAGAGGACTCTCGGGAGGCCGAGGGACTGTGGAGACAGTGGCTGCTGGAAGTTTGTACCCTGTTGAGCCCCTCTTGCTCCCTGGGCTTCCGTCTCCCCAACCTGGTCAGTGTGGGCAGAGTGGTGGTGGCCCCTGGCGCCCCCACCTATGTGCCCACAGGCAGCTCCCTTCTGCTCGCCATTCATCCCGGAACCTGGGGGAAATCCCTGCATGGTTACGGTAATTGCCTGTGACGGGTGGTGACAGGTGGGAAGCCGGAAGGTCAGCATGTTGACAGCCCCAGGGAGGGCTGAGCACAGAGGGTGGACAGGCTGTTGGGGAAAGGAGAGAATCCAGCACAGAGGAAGCCAGGCTGGGGTTGCACCGTGGCTGGAGTAGAGGGTGAGTGAGCCCGTAGTCCTTCACCGGCTGGCCCTACACTCGCCAGCAATTTCCCCACCCAGCACTCTCTCTTGCCAGCCTGCCACAGTCCCTGAAGCCCACCTCCGGACCACCACCCAAGATCACTGGGCTGGGACCCCCTACACTCACCCCGAGATCTTGAGCAAACCCATGAGGCTGGGATGCCCCCTTTCTCTCCATGTACAGGGAGTGGGCTGCATGATACCTATGGCCTTCCAGCTCTCAGATTCCGTGAGGAAGGCTTTGACTCCAGAGACCTTTATGAAAATGTATTCTCCCTCCCTCCCTCGTTCCCTTTTTCCTCCCTTTCTCCATCCATCCAGCTGACAAACCCGGAGCGAGAGCATACCTAGAGCTGGACAGTGTGCACAGGTAGGGCCTGTTCCCGGCACCCATAGTCTCAAGAATGAGGCTCTTTCGATCCAGGCACTAACACTATGCTGAAGGAAGCTCACAGGAGGCATCTGATCCAACCTGGGATCAGGGCAGACTTCCTGGAGGTGGCATTGCTGGCTGAAGGATGGGATAAGAGTTAGCTCGGTGAGGATGGGAGTGGGTGGCACCGAAGAAAGGCTGTCCAGGTAGGGGGAATGGCATGTGCACAGGCAAGGTGGTAAGTGAGGCACTTCTGGGGAGCCAGCTGCAGAAGACACACGGACAAAGCAGGTACAACAGGCCCTCCCAGGCTCGGGTCCCGACCCAGTGCTGTTGAGGACAGAGGACCCAGGTTCCTGCTAAGGCTGCGAGTCTCCACTCTAATCCTGAGCAAGTGGCTTCTCTGTGCCCAGCCTGTCTTCCTGAGTGTCACATAGGCACGTCTCCCTCTGGCCACAGCTTCCTCTGGCCACCTGGGCAGCTCTAAAGCCCGAATGAGGCAGAGGAGGGAATGCCCTTCTGAGGAGCCCAGAGTGCACTCCCAGTGGATGGGCTGGGCTGGGCCCTGGCTGAGGCCACAGACTCATCCCCACTCTTGCTTGTCCCTCAGGTGTGCAGCCTCTGGGGCATCGGCTGCAGGAACTCCTTGCCAGCAGCTTTTGGAATCCACACTTGGCAGCAAAGCCAATCCCTTCCCGGCCTCCATGGAGACCCGTTTGAAGACCAGGCTTCTAGGCCCAATAGTGGTCCACCCAGAGGATTTCAGCGCCGCCAGGGAAAACAGCCACCTCAGGCTGCACAGGGGCAGCCGTGAATCTTCACTGAGGGCCTTGCGGCTGCTCCTGAAGCAGCATCCCTGGGGCTGGCGCAGGGGCACTAGCAGGGGCCAGGCCTTACAGGATGCCCGCCAGACTCAGGGCATTTCTGGTAACTTTTCAGCGTCCAATCAGTGCGTCTATTCCCTCCACCACAGCGGTTTCAGGCCCTAGTTATGCGGCTTAAGACCCCAAATAGAAGACTTTAGATACTTGGAGAAGTTGGAAGCAATCAGAACAGATGTTTTCAAATTGCCATGCCCTCCTTCTGTATGCCACCTTCACCCTCACCTCCTCCCTATTGTCCCTCCCCTGCACGAGGCTGCTCCTTTTTTAAAAAAATATTTTTATTGATTTCAGAGAGGAAGGGAGAGGGAAAGAGAGAAACATCAAGAATCATTGATTGGCTACCTCCTGCATGCTCCACACTGGGGATCGAGCCCACAACCCAGGCATGTGCCCTGACCTGGAATCAAACCCTGACCTCCTGGATCACAGGTTGATGCTCAACCCCTGAGCCATGCTGGCTGGGCGTGAGGCTGCTCCTTGCACAGCTCAGGAGGTGCCCTTCCCATGCAGGCTGTGCCCCAGGACCACACCATGCAAGCCATGCACTCCCGCCACCCCATCCCACCCCCTCTTTGGGACTTGGTTTCACAGGACCACACGACTCCGTTCCGCCCTGGTCCATGCTCCTCTCACTGCTCCTTGTCTGTCCTCTTAGTGGGGGTCCTCTTTCTCCTGCCCAATAAATGTGGGGACCCTGGGAACCCTGTCCATGGCCCTCTTTTCTTTTCATTCGACGCACAGTTTGCGGACAAATCATCCACCATATGGTTTCAGTTACCAGGCAGTGCTGACCTCTGGAACTGCAGCCCCCGCTCAGACCCATCTGTCCAATGGCCTGCTGGAATCTGCACCTAACCTCCCCCAGAGCCAGCACACTCAGATGGGCCCTGGCTTGACTCCTTTCTCTTCCTCCTCATCCCCATCCATTCAGTCATCAGAATCCCCCTGATTTTACCGCCTAACCATGCTGGACTGAAATCACTGCCCACACCACCTGCCCTTGTCCCTGCCAGGCCACCATCCTCGCTGCAGCTGGGATGCTCTTCCCATACCCAGAGCTGCCTCTGTCAGAGCATGTTCCCAACAAGCTGCTGGATGGGAGACTGTGCAAGGACAGGGGACATACCTGATTCATCTTTGACTCAGGGCTGAGCCCCAGTCTGGCCCACAGTGGCGGCTTCATGATTGTTGAATGAATGAGTGACAAAAACTGCTACTCCATATCCTTTCCATGATCTCATCCAATCCCCAGGAGGCCTGAGCTCATGCTCCCCTCCGCTTGTAGCCTGGGCCGGCCCTTTGGTGTTGTTCATGCGGATTCCACCAATCCCAAGAGCTTGGCTCCTGAACCTGCCTCTGAGTCAGGGCCCGGTGCATGTTGTCCCCAGGGGCTGGCAGACAGGGCCTAGGCTTGCCTCCAAGACCAGAAGTCCTGAGACTGGCGCCACACCCACCCTGGAACCTGCGGGAAGGTGTGGACAGTTTCCAAAGGGGCCCCCGGTGTTGGGGGTTAGCCTGCATGGCTTGCCCAGGCTCCCGGGTCTCCTGGCCACCGCTCGGCAGCTCCTGCCAGCACCGACAGCTGTGCTCTGGCCAGCTCTCTGCAGGAAGGCACGTTCCATTTCATCTGCAGAGGCCATGTGAATGAGGAAAGGAGGGGAGAGAAGGAGGACAGTGGGGGATGGGGCCCACAGAGCCACAGACAGTGGGGGAGACACACAGAGAGGCAGGGAGGGGACAGAGATACTCACAGGGACACAAGGAGCTCCAGGACAGAAAAGACAGTGGAGAGGAGGAGAGGGGGGCCCAGGCCCAGGCAATGAGAGACATACAGCGACACAGACAATGGTGGGAGAGAAGGCAAAGGAAAGACACCTAGACAGAGAGTAAAAGATAGAAAGAGGCAAGGATGGGGAAGTCAGAGACAGAGAAAAAGGCTGAAAGAGGAAAGAGGAGAGAAGAGAAAGAGAAACCCGAAATGGAAACAAGGAGCATGGTGGAGGAGAGACGACTCCACTGAGGACATCAGGGATGGCTTCCTGGAGGAGGGGCCCAGGTAGCCAGGACTCCCAGGATGGGATTCAGAGATGCAAGGAACAAAGGCCTGGAGGAAGATGAAAGGTCTTGAGAAGGTGGGGCTGCTTTGGTGTTGCCTTACTGACCCTGCAAGCCAGACTGCCACGTAAAGGGCATTTGTATACAAACGGGAAGGTGTCCTACTCTGAGCGGGCACAGTCCCACCATGTTTTAGCGCAGAGAAAAGGGCTCCTCTTTTCCCGGGGCCAAGCAGGCCTGTGCCAGAGCACAAGGCTCAGTGAGCAGAGCACAGGCTGGGCACCGCCCAACAGCCCCAATTTACCCTCCGACACAGAAAGACAGGGTGGGGCAGAGAGAAGAATCCTATTGCTGGGTTAGGACAGAAAACCTGGCTCAAGAGCCATCTGGTTGTGTGACCCTGGGCGGCTTCATTGTCTATGTGTCTCCATTTCCCCAAATGGTCCAGAGGTCCTCCCACCTCTATGATTTCATCATCTGATGACCTGAACACAAACTGCTACTTCGTGAGCCCCCTGGGGACACGAGGCTTTTCCAACATTGTTTCATTTCGTCCTCACGGCAGCCTTCGAGGTCCCCCAGTGTATGAGGGGCCGGCACTTGTCCAGGTCACGCAGTTGGTAAGAGGTGCAGCCACATCCTCACTCACCGCACATCCCTGCACGCTATTCTGAAGGACTGGCGGCTGCAAAGGATCCTGAGTTCACGTGTTGGGGGCAGGAAATTGTCAGAAACATGTGTACCTTCCAAGGTTCACCAGA